CTTGCTACACATGCACCAAGAGCTTAGTCCACATGTCATACCATGCAAGTTCCTCTTGTCCTTACTAAGACACGGGAGTTTCCAAGACAATGAGCACGGCATTTACAAGACAAAAGGGACAAAATGCACTACAAGACACCACACAACTCCCACGGCATTAAGGAAAAGGACAAGGTGGGAGGGGAATCTTGGACAAAACACACGCCTAGGAACTTGCACGGCGCTTAGGACAAGGGAGAAGGCATCTTGACCAAGACAAAACTCACATAAACCGCACGGCATGCACCATGACTTGGAAGGAGAATCTTGACCAACTCATACACACATTGCACGGATACTCTCGGACGAACACGCGCGCACGGTCTTCATGACTTGTGTTGGGCGGAAATCTCTCGGACACACGCACGAACACGTGCACGGCATACACATGAACTTAGGTCCGAGTAACGCACGGCTATGAACATGAACTCGGAATAAAATCCGAATATTAAGCTAATCTCGTGATTAAGTTAAATTAATCACTTAACTACGTTTAATTATCCAATTAAACATAATGCTTAATTACCAAAATTATTTCGAACGTAAACGGTACGTCGGAAAATATTTTCCGGTAATTCTGACTGAAATAACTGAAAATAATTAATTCCGAAAAAAAAAAATATCGGAACTAAAATATTATTATACTGATAAAAAGTCGGGATATTACAAACTGAATGATGAAAAATAACATGGGAAAGGGGCCTTTATATAGGCACAAATTATATCTAGTCCTAATCTACCTAGGGAACTAACAAAGCAATAAAATATTAGAAATCCTAAACAATCTAGAAATCATGATGAAATAAGGGAACTAAATATCTAGGAGTCTTCAAACTTGGCATGCACTCCAAGAAGCTTCCAACCACCTCAAACCTTCGGCCGCCCACCGCCCTCGCACGTTACTCCCTAGTCCTCGAGGACTAGGGTCGCGTCGACCTCTTTCGCGCGTGCGACGCCATACGACGTGCCACGCACGTCGTCGCCTCTTGCTCCATCCGCGCGCCTGGCCTACCACCTTGCCGCTCTCCTCGAGGATTGGGGTCCCGCGTCCCTTGCCGCATGCCTCGAGGCATAGGGCTTCAACCCTCGCACGTGCCTCACAACAGCGTGTCTCTCCCGCGCCCGCGCCTGCTGCGCCCGTTGCCAGCGCGTGATGCGCGCCCGCGCTAGCGAACGCCCGTCTCGCACACTAGCCGTTTGCAGTCGTCCTTGCCCGTTAATTGGCCACTCTCGCGTGTCTTGTGCGTCTCCTGCTTCAGGACGTGCGTCTCGCCTGTGGCCAGTGCCATTCTCTTGCGTGCGTGATAGGCATGACTTGCGGCGTTCTTGAGCTGCCTAGCCACTTCCGTATTAATCCCGTCCCCTTCAAGCGCTTCCTTTTCCTCAAGGATAAAAGTCGGGAATTGATCACGTATCTCATCTAGATCCTCCCATGTGGCTTCCTCCTGTGGCAATTCTTCCCACTCGATTAGCACCTCCCAGCGGTAACGTCCAACTTTCATGACTTTGCGGTACTCCACTGCACGTTTTGGTCGTACTATGACCCTTCCATCAGTTGCAGTTACTGGTAACTCCTCGCACCACTTGTGCGCTTCTCCAAGACTTCTCTTAAGCTGAGAGACATGTATCACTGGATGGATCTGTGAACTCTCGGGTAGCTCTAGTCGATAAGCTACTTGACCGATGCGCTTCAAAATCTGATGTGGCCCATAGTATCGCACTCCTAGCTTAGTTGTCGTCCTCTGTGCTATCGTGCGCTGTCTTAATGGTCGCAGCTTTAAGTAGACGTACTCGCCTGGCGCGTAATTTTCCTCTCGTCGCTTTCCATCTACGAAGGCTTTGGTTCGATTAATCGAGCCTTCTAGATTTTTCTTCAACTCACGCAACATCTAATCTCGCTCCTCAAGTTCTCGACCGACTTCATCGTTGAACGTGCCTCCCTCCAAGTAATTGATCAGTGTTGGCGATTTACGCCCATATACCAGCTCGAATAGAGTCATCTTGGTCGACTCATGGTAAGTAGTATTGTACCAGTACTCAGCCCAGGGCAGAAAATTTTCCCACCTCTTCGGAAATTGATGAACATAGCACCGTAGGTATTGCTCAAGGGTTCAGTTGGTTACCTCGCTTTGCCCATCGGTTTGGGGATGATATGCTGAGCTCATGGATAACTTGGTCCCCTGCAGCTTGAAGAATTCAGACCAAAAGCTGCTCATAAAGATCCTATCTCGGTCAGAAACTATGGATCGTAAAGCCCCGTGCAGCTTCATTATATATTCAACGAATAGCCTGGCGATAGATTTCGTCGTATAAGGATGTGTAATGGGTATGAAGTGAGCATACTTGGTAAGTCGATCCACTACGACCATTAATCCGTTGAACCCATTAGAACTTGGCAGCCCTTCAATGAAATCCATGGTGATGTCTTCCCAAATTGCCTCGGGTACCGGGAGGGGTTGTAGCAGCCCACTTGGTCGTCGCGAATCAGCCTTAGTACGCTGACAGTCATCGCATCGTGCAATGTAATCTCGAACCATGCTCTGCTGTCCGGACCAAAAAAAGGTATTGGCTATCCATGTGCGGTAGATACCCGAGTTACCTCCAACTTTAGAATCGTGGAAATGCTGCATGATCTTTTCGCGTAGCTGCCCACTGTTGGGAATGAATACTCGACCACGATGTAGTAGTAGGCCATTGTGCAGCTCATAATCAGCAATGGTTTCTCCTGTCTCGATCTTCCGGTGCAACCCCTGGCAATAAGTATCCTCTTCTTGTGCCTTTCGAACTTTCTCCCAGATGGTCCACGTCAGCCCGGTGATAGCATTAAGCTCAGCTACAACTATCCGTCAGGATAATGCGTCAGCCATAACATTCTATCGACTTGGCCGGTAGACTATCTCAAAGTCGAACCCCATCAGTTTCAAGACAAAATTCTACTACTCAGAGATAACAATCCTTTGCTCGAGTAGATGCTTGAGTGGCTGCTGGTCGGTCACAATCTGAAATTGACGCCCTAATAGGTAAGGCCTCCAGCATCTTACAGCCTCGACAACTGCTAGCATCTCCTTCACGTACACAGATAATCCCAACCGAGTCGTGCCTAGTGCCTTACTGAGATAGGCTAGGGGTCGTCCTTCCTACACTAGCACAACTACAATTCCAATATCACTCGCATCTGTGTGTACCTCGAACAGGACATCAAACCTTGGCATGGCAAGCACCGGCGTCGTAGTCATGGCACCCTTCAGTTTCTCAAATGCCTCCTCGCTAGTCTTGGTCCATGCGAACTCGCCTTTCTTGGTTATCTCCGTAAGTGGTTTGGCGATGGTCCCATAATCCTTTACAAACTTCCTATAGTAACACGTGAGCCCTAGGAATCCTCGGAGCTGCGTGAGACTCATATGCTTAGGCCAGTCGACCATAGCCTCTATCTTCCGTGGACCAACCTTTACGCCATCGTAGGATATAAAGTGTCCTAGGTACTCAACCATCTCCTACCCAAATGAAGACTTGGACGGCTTGATGTGAAATGAATTAGCCTCCAAGACTTCAAGTACCACTCTCAAATGCTCCAGATGTTCAGCTCATGACTTCGAATATACCAAGATATCATCAAAGAAGACTAGAACAAACTTACGTAGATACTCCTTGAAGATAGAATTCATAGCAAACTGGAAAGTAGATGGAGCATTACACAGCCCGAATGGCATCACCAATTACTCATAATGCCCCTGATGTGTACGAAAAACTGCCTTCGAAATGTCGGTTTTGTGGAGTCGGATCTAATGGTAACCAGCTCTTAGGTCGAGCTTTGAGAAATAGCGTGATCCTGCCAACTCATCGAGCATGTCATCGACACTAGGAATAGGAAATCGATCCTTGATAGTCGCCGCATTTAGAGCCCGATAGTCGGTACAAAACCTCCATGTACCATCCTTCTTCTTAGCTAATAATACCGGTGACGAAAATGGACTCGAGCTATGTTGAATTAACCCAGACTCTAACATCTCAGCTACTTGCCTTTCGATCTCAGTTTTCTGAAAGTGAGCGTACCTATAGAGGTGAACGTGCACGGAATGCTGCTCATTGACTAGTGGTATGCGATGATCGAACTCCCGGTGGGGTGGCAGTCCCTTAGGTTCGCCCAGTACTCCCTCAAATTCCTCGAGAAGCTCGCGCACATCTCCTTGCTGTTGCTCGTTCTCGACCATGTGCGTCCCAGTGTTCTCGACGACTACTGCAAAAATTTGGCTGCCACCTCGCCAAACTCTTACAATACTCTTCAGTCCAACCTCCTTAGTATTTTTTTCTCCTCCAGCCTTGAGAGTGACCCACTTGCCTCCAGATCTAAACTCCATGACTTCGGTGCGGTAGTCTGTGATCACCCTCCTAGCCATTGCACTCCTAGAACCACGTCCGGTCCAACCAAGGGTAGGGCACAGAGATCGGCTTCCACAACAACTCTTTGGAATTTGATTGGTACCTTACGAAAGGACTCGGTGCATTGAAGCCTCTCACCGTTGGCTACTCGAACTTTAAAGGGGTCAATCTTCGTGGTTGGCAGATTCAGCTTCTTGGACAAGTCTGCATTGATGAAGTTGTGTGATGACCTGTTGTCTACGAGTATGATCACTTGTCGGTCCTTGACCCAAGCTGATAGCCTCATCGTCCTTGGCCCTCTGATCCTAGCCATTGCGTGCATCGAGATCTCAGCATCCTCATCAAATGCTTCAATGTCGTCCACTGGCTCTGGTTCTTCCTCGACTTCAGCTACTTCATCGTCGGAGTTGGCAACCTCTATGACAAAGGCTTGCCAGCATCGATGCCCTGGCATAAATTTTTCCTCGCACTTGAAACAAAGACCTTTTTCGCGTCGGCGCTTGATCTCCTCAGGTGTGAGTTGCTTGACTACTGGGCCCGGTGGTCGAGCGTTATTGGTCGGTCGTGCACCTATGGTCACTTGAGATGGCCCTATGCAGCGTGTGTCGGTGAAACGGGCATCTGCCCGTTCCCTTCGCGTGGCTGTTAGGTGATCTTCGCGTCGTCGGGCCACTTCCATAGCAGCGTGCATGGTCTCTGGTCGTTCGAGACGTACCTCGACCACAAGATCACATTTCAGACCGCCTATGAATGCTCCTACCAATGCAGTTTCGGGCCAGCCCCGTACTCGACATGCTAAACGTTCAAATTCCTTCAGATAATCACGTAAATTACCTGTTTGCCTTATACGAGTCAACGCCTCATCATAGTTGTGGTAGTTGGATGTACCAAAGCATTTGA